CTTTATAAAACAGACAATGTCTCCTTGGCCACATCAGCTGTGACAGACAGTGGAGTCCACATAGCCTGTAAGGTGCTCAGTATCGGATCCATCCTAGGTTAGGCACCACTTTTGTACATGCCGTAACAATTGGCATCCTAGAGAGAAAGAGAAAATTCTCTTACCTGTAAATTCCTATTCTGTGATGTAGCAGTGAAGAGATCTCCCCGCTCTCCTGACTTGACCTATATAGCTCTGTTCTGAGTACTCTGGGAGATTAGAAAGTGACAGCTTTCGTGGTGTCCTTCTATCCTCCATTTAATGTTCTCTCTTCGGTGGTTGTTTCTCAGAAACTGTTTTTCATATTTAATAAAGTAATCACATTCAAATCTATGTGTTAGTTGTTTGGCTTCATATGCTTATGTAGTTTGGGTGGTAATTTCATTGTGCTGCTTGTTACAGCTGGGAACTGGTACTGAAAGTACTGAAGCGACAACTGATATCTTTGAAAGAGAGCAGGCAATTTGTATAGATTATAGGAGTCTTACAGATGAGCTGAAGGTAAGAAAATCTGCTACGATCCCAACTTATTAGAGCTCTTGAGTTCATATTCCTTTAGCTTGGAATATGGACTGCAGCAGCTTGGGAAATCTGAATTTAAAGTGAGGTAAGCCTCACGGCTGCCAAATTCCTCTCTTGTTTGGATAGTCAATTTGAGCCAAAGAATCCCCCTCTTTTCTAGGGATGTAGACCGTAAACATATAAATGATTAATAAAACAATAAGACTTTGTTTACCATTTATATATTGCTGTCAACGTTTAGACATTTTCCAGAGCTTGGAAAATTGGCAGAGGTTTTCCTTTGCATTCCAGGATCATCTCCGCCTGCAGAATGAGCATTTTATGGTGCTAACCATAATCATCTGTATACATGGTTGACACAGACATGTTAACATGTTGTTTATTTTCCGTCTTCTCGTGCAGCCCCACCCACATTGAGACTGCACTTGCGCAGGCTGGCTATGGGGCATTTTCTTTCTAGCTCAAAAACTCCAAAGAGGAGGCTCCCCGCCCTTCTTCGGAGCTGACACATGCTTGGGATTCCTGCCCAACGCGTCATGTGCTCCATTGGCAGGAGCTCCTTTCCTCAGTTACTTCTTCACCATCGCTACAATAGGAACATTTCTAGTGCGCTCTATTGATTTTCTTCATTGTGGATGAAAGAATACTTCTTTTTGTCCATTGAGGACTCATTTTGCACTCCTTCGGGAGTCTGTTTTGCGGAAAAAGAACTGCCAGACAGCCAGCTTGTTGAATGTGTTTTCCGCAGCTCTGACCCAGAGACAACGTTTCTCTCAAAGGCAACGTGGCTTTGCTACCCCTTTCTACAGGGTCAGGGACAACACCATCAGCCGTCATTCATGTATCCTTAATGCCCTTTCCAGTCGTCTCCCTTTTCAAAAAGAAGGGTACCCAACTGTTAAGGCTACTCAACAGAACCCTCAGAGGTATCAAGGCCAACAGCCAGCAAAGTTCTGACTATCTGCCCCAATAGTTGCAGATGTTTCCTGTTTTAAGGATAGGCTGACACAATTTTCAGAAGGGCGGGGTGCCCCCTCTTTGGAGTTTTTGAGCTAGAAAGAAAATGTCTCAATGTGTGTGTGTCTACACAGAAGACGTCGATGAACAACATACAGGTAAGTACAACTGTTATTTTTATTAAGAAAAATCAGTAATGGAACTGATAATATGAAAGAATATGTATGTAGGCTTGAAAATATACATCCCTGCTCTCGTCCCTTTCTCTGCCCCACATAAGCTTATCTATCCTGTTCATTTGAAGCAAGAAGGTGGTAAGATGGGGCAAGTGAGAGGAGGAAAGATACATGCGGTGTCTGCCAGCAGGGATTTTTCCTCCCATCTCTCCCCCTGTTCCTGGTGCATTCCAGGAACGGTAGTTCCCAGAACACCTCAGGTCACCTGGGAACTAAAATTTCTATAATTCACTTTGGAGTGGGGGAAGCAAGAAAGAAAGGGTGGAAAATGGACATTTACAAGTACTTTCCCAACTCTCAGTCAGTTCCTCATTGCTTCGCATTGACAAGGCAGATAAATTGGGGAGGGATGGAAGAGGAGGGGAGAACAAAGGAGAGAGCATGCCTAGAAATTTATGAGATACAGTGATCAGAACTGTACATAGTATTCCAAATGCAGTTGCACCATAGATTTATACGGGGAATTACAATATTGACTCGTTTGTTCTGTATCCAGTAATCCCTAGCATGAACTTTGCCTTTTCACTGCTGCCACACGCTCTTAGTCTTTGTCAGTTCAGACCCCCATCAGCATATATTTATAATCAGGATTTTTTGCTCCGGTGTACATTACGTTTCTGCTTACTTACATTGAGTTTCATTTGCCATGTTGTTGCTCACCCATTTGGAGGTCTTCACAGTTCTTTTGTGGGAATACTATATGGAAAGCAAGCAAAAAGGCTGCCATTGCTTGGCCCTCTTCTCCAGCATATTAGGAACCAGCCTGATGGACATTTTGGGTTCTTCCGTGTCTTCCACTGATAAAAGCAAAACTTCAATTCCTAGAGATGTTAAAACCGATCCATCTTCTCCTTTGGCTCTTCCTGACGTTTTTCTCCATAAATGTGTGTTTCCTTCCCGGAGCACAACTGGGTTCATATAGATGTCACCGTTCTCTTAAGGCCAGCAGCTTCTCACTCAAACAGCCTTCAGATTAAAAATCCAGAGAAGTCCTTACTCTCTAGGAGACTGTCTATAGTGTTTTGTTTTGTTTTAAAACTAGGACTTGCAGTCTGATAAAGAGATTGAGACCCACCTAGCACGACTTCAGCAAGAAGTAACAGCTAAAGAAAGTGCTTTATTAAAAACAGCAGCACCGAACATGAAGGCCTTGGAGAGACTATATATTGTTACAGACAGATTCCAAGAATCAGCCAATGGTAATACTGAAGTCTTCTGATTAGTAGTTGTTGTAGTGAGTGAGTAATTGGTGATTCCCCCCACACACTTTCTTTGCACATTCAATCAGTATTAATTTGATTTTGCAAGATAAAATACTAGATCTATGTCTGACCCAACTAGGTTTTGGGCCTATTTTAAGTCTGTACTCTCTGTGTGCATGTACATGGTTTTGGAAATGTATATTGCTGTATGTGCATAAAGCTATCTGAACTTTCCATTATGTACCGAAATCCCAGTTTACCATGCTGTTGCAAATGCTTCAAAAAGACTGTTAGTAGCAGCATAATAAATCTCAATCTGGGTATGTGCTGGATTGTGTAACCATTCAGTTATTTACTTACTTCATTTATACCCCGTCTTCCTCCCCAGTGGAGACCCAGAGTGGCTTACGTTGCTCTCTTCTCCATTTTATTGTCACAACAGCCCTGTGAGGTAGGTTAGGCTGAGTGTGTGTGACTGGTCCAATGTCACCTAGTGAGCTTCTGTGGTGGAGTAGGGATTTGAACCTGGGTCTTCGAGCTCCGAATCCAACACTCTAACCACTATACTCACACTGGCCCTTTCAGTCTGGCTCGTAGTGACTGAATATGAGATTCATTTGTCAGAATCCCTGGTTTCTGGATATTTTCCTTCTCCTTGGCATTCTTATCGCAGCGCTATTTTCAGGAGTATGCACATGTGTCTTTCCTGAACCTAGTTTGCTACTATTGTTTAGGAAAGATTGCAACCAAAGTGCCTTTGGCTGGTATGTGGACAAGATAAGAGCGCCCCCCCCATTCTGCCCACGTTCAAGAGGGCCTTTTTCAGACATTTTTTTAAAAAATGATAATAGCTATCTCGCTCTAGCATTATAGATTTGTAATGATCTGTTGAAACAATGTGCTAATTCCCAGGTTTCTTTTTTTTAAAAAAAGTCTCTAGCCTTTTGATTACAGAGCTATAAGTGGAAAGGTACTGGATGCATATATACTTATTACTGATTTTTAAAAAGTCCTCTGGTGGTAAGGACAAAAAGGGCAGCTATGGAGGATTAAGGTGAGGAAAGTATAGGGAAAACTTCTATGTGGATGTTCCATTGCCACTGCAATCTCTCCCTATAATATAATTCTGTAGGACGCAAAGTCACGCAATGCGCACCTACAATGCGCACCTACAGCCCACGTCCCATTGGTCACGTCGTCTGAGTCCCACCTCAGACGCAGCTTCAAGTGACCTGCGCAGGATCTTCCCGGCTGGAGGCGGCAGGCGGCTGCCACGGGCGCCGGGCTAAGGCCGGCGGCCGGCTGCGGCACGGCGGAGGAGGCGGGCGACGTGCAGAGGGGTGGCTGGAAGTGACCGCCGGCAGCGATGGCCTGCGCGGAATCTTCCCGGGGGCTTGAGGCGACGGGCGGCTGCGACGGCCGCCGGGATGCAACCGCCGGCCGCCTGGGTCAGGCCGGAGAGGGGGAGGACGCCAGCACAGTGCAGAGGGGTGGCTGGAGCCGACGGGCGGCTGCGACGGTCAGAGCGGAGAGGGGGAGGAGGTGAGCGCCGTGCGGGGGACAGTCGAGAGTCGCGAGTGGCTGGAGACGACGGCCGCCAGCCTAAGACTGGCGGCCGCCTGGGTCAGGGCGGAGAGGGGGAGGAGGCGACGGGGGGGGGGGCTAGTTGCCCGTTGTATCGCCCTGTTCAATGGGCCTTGCTCCCTAGTACTTAATATAGAACAAAGAGAAAAGTTGTAGAAACTCCAGTGTTCATTTCAAAGGGCAGCTATTTGTCCCTGTTAACTATTTTGGAAAATGCAAATACACAGGCTAACATTCTCCTTGTAGTTCAGAAAGTATTACTCTAGTGGTCCAGGATGGGGCAGTCTCAACTTCAAGGAGAAGCTCCTCCTTATAATCAGGTGGGGTCGCTGATCTTTGTGTGATTACTGGAGGGGAGGGGCATCTCTCTTAGATCCCTGGTCTTCAGCCCTGCCTCAAGGCAGACAGATGTCATCAGCTGAGCTCTATTTGAGCGCCGTGATCTCTATTCTATTTCTCGTCTCCTCTTAGTGTTTTTCATTTGGTTTGTCCTTTATTCCTTCCTTCATGGGGAGATTGACCAGAGAATGGGAAGGACATGGTTCCCCCCAGTCAAGTTCAGTAGGCAGCAGAAAAAACTGGGAGTCTGCATTAAATGAGACTGCCAAAAATAATATCATAAGTGGTAAAAGCAGATATTGATAATGATATTTACTTGTCCAGTTATATTTATTTGCTAATGATATTTAGCTTCCCCAGCCACCCTGCCGGGAGCCGCACAATATGTGTGAAAGAGCCCCATGTGGCTCCCGAGCCACAGTTTGGCCACCCATGACCTAGGTCTTCCAAAATGAGATGGCAGCCCAACAGGTGGAAATAGTTCCTTCTTTACCAGAACTTCTGGACAGAATCTGTGGCCCCCCGAAAAGAACTCTTCAGCATGACTACCACAGGGGCTCAGACTCAACAAAGATAGGAGGTTGTATTCTCAGCTTTTTGCAGCTCAATGGGAGACCACGGTGGGCAACAGGTGGGTCTTAGAGAGAGTGGCAGACAGCTACTCTCTGGAACTCTGTTGCCTCCCAACAGATTTCTTCAGTCACCAAGAAATCGTTGCCCACAAAAGCACCTTCTTCTCCTCAAGGCCATACAACACCTCTGGACATCAGGGTGATATGCTGGAGGCCCAAAAGGCCTCGGGGGTTTATTCAGTCTTTTTTATAGTCCAAAAAAAGAACAGGGACACGAGAGCCGTGTTAACCTCAAATGGCCAAACAGGAGGATAAGAAAGAAGAAGTGCAGGATGGAAACCCTCAAGTCCATAGTATCATCCATCCAGAAAGGAGATTTTCTAGCATCAATAGATCTGTCGGAGGCCTGTTTACATATCGCAGTTTTGGAATCACATCAGAGGTTCCTGTGCTTTTTTATGACAAACTCCAGTTATGGGCTCTTCCCTGTGGCCTCAAAAGGCACCAAGAGTGTTCACCAAAGTCTTGGTTACTCTGATAGTGCACCTGAGAACCCAGGGAATGTCCATCTTCCCATATTTAGATGAAATTTTAATCAGGTCCTTATCTCATCTACAGGGGGCAGAGGATGTATATCTAACTGTCTCGTGCCTCCAGGATCACGGGTTCATCATCAGCTGGGAGAAAAGCAGATTGTTCCCATCTCAGAGGGTCCTACACCTAGGGATCATAATAGACACAGCTCAGGACAGAGTTTTCATATTGCAGGAGAGACAGTAGAAGATCCTAATTTCAATACAGGAGCTCACAAGTGCTTCTAGGGATGATGGTATCCTGTCAGGATATCATCCTGTGGTCCCGGTTTCATGCTTGCCTGCTCCAAAGGTTCCTCCTATCACTCCTGAATGTTATAGCCAACAGGCAGTTCAAGATCAGCCACTTGGATCCCTGATTAAGGAACTACAATGGTGAACAAAATCATCCAGGTTTCTGGAGGGGACTCCGTTACCGAAACTGAAGAGGATAATAATGACATAGGACACCAGCCTCACTGGCTGGTGGGCTCACTCATGGGGAAGAGTAGCTCGGCTTCTGGTCTCGGGAAGAGTCATCACAAAGCATCAGCTTTCTGGAGCTCAGGTCAATAAGGCTAGGACTGTTGTCCTTCCAGGATTTCCTAACAGGGCGGCACGTCATAGTTCATATGGACAATATGGCAGCCAAATCCTATGGCAGCCACCAGCGGGGTACTAAATCCAGGTCACTCCATGAAGAGCAAAGCTGATTATGCTCTGTGAAGAGACACATCTGAGTTCAATCAAAACTGCTCACATGGCAGGACAGAACAACACGTCAGTTGGAGGGCTCTAAATCAAGCAGAATGGATGCTGAACAAGGCAAGCTTCCAGCAGATATGCTACAAGTTCAGCAAGGCAGAAGTGGACCTTTTTGTGATGGAGCAAAATTACCAAGTTCCACAATTCATCTTAAGGACAAGATCTCCACAAGCCGTATGGGTAGATGCCCTAAGATGCAACTGGCTGAATCAGCTACTGTACGCCTTTCTTCCCACACAGTTAATCCAAAGGGTGATCCAGAGAATCATAAACCTCAACGTGGAAGTAGTGCTGGTGGCTCCATTTTGGCCATGGAGGCAATGGTTCCAGGACCTACTGAGATTGTCTATCATGAAGCCCTGGCGACTTCTCATCAGGAAGGATCTCCTTCAGCAGAGATCCCTCATTTACCCCCAGCCTGGGTTGCTAAGCCTCACAGCCTGGCAGTTGAGCGGTTGCAATTCAAAGAAATAGGATACACAGACAGGATTATTAACACTATGATAGCCTCCAGGAAGCGTTCCACTAACAGGGTTTGTTTATTTATTTATTTGTTTGTTTGTTTATTTTTCACATTTATATCCCGCCCATCCTGTAAACAGGCTCATGGCAGGTAATAACTCATTGGCAGGTATTCCCGTCATGGTGTTTCAACCATGGGCTAGAGCCCCTTACAGCTAAAGTGGGAGACGTTCTCTCTTCCTTGCTAGAAGTTTTGGACAAAGGTCGTAGTACTAGTACACTGAAAAGGCAGGTGGCAGCCATTTCCGCCATCAGGAACTAAGAAAAGGAGGATCTTATCCCAGCACCCCCCTGTTAGGAGGTTTCTAAGGGGCACTTCCTTGATTAATCCACCTCAGGTTCATCGTTTTTCTACATGGAGCATGAATGTAGTGCTCAAGGCTCTCTCCTGAACACCATTCGAGCCAATGGTCACTTTTCTCTCAAAGAGCTCACTTTTAAAACCATCCTTCTGGTCAGCATTACTTCGGCTGTCAGAACTTAGAGCTCTCTCTGTGGGCAAAGAGCTCTGTGTCTTCCATAAAGATAGAGTAGCCTTTATCCCAAAGGTAAATTCTGCCTTTCATAGGTCAGAGGACCTGATTCTCCCCTCCTTCTGCTCTAGCCCCAAACACCCTTAGGAGAAGGAGAGGCATTGTTTGGATGTTAAGAGGGCCCAGAGCTTCTACCTTGATAGGACTAAGCCCTTTTGTAGGACTGACTCTATGTTTGTCTTTTTCAGGAAGGCTTCCCTAGGGCACAGAGTTTCTACTTCTACCATTAGTAGGTGGGTTAGAGGCTGCATACTTCTTGTTTACAAGTCCGCAGGTCTAGACCCTTCTCTGGGTGTCCCGGCACACTCCTTCAGAGGGGCTGCAACCTCTGCAGTCTACAGATCCTTTCCATCTTCTTCGTGGTCTCTGTGCTTCACACCAATGGGATCTAGTGCGCCTGCACTGGATCTGCCGGTGCTGTAGCAAGCTCTTTTAACGGATTTTCGCACCCAGCCCCTCCGGGCATGCGCAGGAGCCCCACTGCGCATGCCCAGAGGGACGGGCGCGGACATCCCACCAGTTCTTTCCTTACCGCCACGCTGAGCAGACCCGTTCTTTGATCGGTCTGGTCAGATCACTGTTTTTGTCGCTTTTTAGCGATTAGCTCTTTTTTCCCCTCTCAGTTTCAGTTTAGTTTCTCGGTCTAGAAGCCGCATCTCTTCCCTCCCTCCCTGTGGCACACTGTTTTCCTATGTCCCAGAAGCTGAGACTGTCCCCACCCTGGACCACTGGAGAATGGAAGATTTGTCTCACCACAAATCTTCCTTCTTAGTGGTCCAGGGGTAGGGCAGTCTCTTCCCACCCGAGGGTAGAATTCTTGTTCCAGCTCTTGGAACAGAGGGGCTACACTGTCTGGACCTAGGGCTTTCTCACCCTAGTGCCATCCTTCCACTTCCTGGTGAGATTCTCTGGGAGTTGTTTTGATGTTATGTTTGTGGATCCGCACTGTTATGTTGTTGTTTTCTCAACTGTTAGTTGGTGGTTCTTCTTGGCTTTTGTATAAATGTTTGGGAGAGGGAGTCATACTGCTTCGGGGCCAAACTGGGATCCGAGAGACCAGCCCCTCACTTCCAGGAATTGCACAAAGATCAGTATTCCTGCCTGACTGTAGGGAGAAGCTTCTCCCAGAAGTTGAGACTGCCCCACCCCTGGACCACCAAGAAGGAAGATTCACAATAAGTGAGACAAATCTTCCGTTTTGCCTCCCTTTCTTTCCTCCCTCCCTGAAAGTGCTAAGAAGTTCAATAACCCCAACAGACATTGGACAGGTGAAGCTGCAGGAGAACAGAGCACAGTTAAAGTTGTACTCTTTAGTCAGAACAGAATCTGGTCTTGCATACAGCACATTATAGGTCACTGGAATCTGTTTCCCTTGGAAGGGGTATACTGTTTTTTCCCACATTTGCTTACCATGCTAAGGTGAGAAGTTACAAAATTATCCCAGAATTTGTACAGTTACAGCATTCTATTAAAGCCAGCTCTCGATTATCTTTTTGTAGCATTTGAGGCCCACAGGAAGGAAGCCAAGTTATGTAGGCAAGAATTTGAACAAGTGAAAAAAAGGAGATATGACCTGTTCAGCCAATGTTTTGAGCATGTGTCTGTAGCTATTGATCAGATCTACAAGAAATTGTGCAGAAACAACGGTGCTCAGGTTTGTACTTTTTGAGGTACTTACTAATATCAATATTCATGGCTATTTTTGACTGTCCAAAATTCAACAGTTAGCAGTTCAGAAACAGGATTGCTTAAGAAAATATTTGTCATGATCTATTTGTAATGATCTGTTTGTAATAAAACAGTCATGTTAAACCAGATCTAGATTAGAAATGAAGCAAGAAAGTGATAGTTAACTTCACTGATTTCTTATCTAATCCCTGCTCTCTAACCTGGAAAGTGGAGGTTTGGGCTTGGGTTAGGCTGGTGCAAAAGGAGGCATCAGTATCCAGTATGCAAAAAAAGGAGGAGTGAATCTACTTGGAAGAAACGTTCTGATTCAGGTGGAATTGTCCTGGGCTTTAGGTAGTATGAAACTCAGTGGACTGGAGCCAGACTATTTTCCATCAGCAGAAGAGCACTTCCCTAACTGCCGTCTCCCACTGCAGTGCAGTGATCTCCACAAAATCCTGTTCTGGGGAGGACAAGGGACCTTGAGAAATGACAAGGGTCTGCAATGGGAAGGTGGAATCGGTAAAATGCCAGTTTAGTTTGTATTCAACCAATTGACTTATGCCACAACCCTTTTTTTTTGTGAGGTCTTTTCTACCGCCTGTACCCTGGAATTTGTCTTGGGGTATGAATATACCCCACAGTGCAATGTGTGTAAGTTTTGTCTTTACATCTTGAACCAAAATATATTTATGTTTCTTGTTTTGTAAAGAATAACTGGAAGTCTTATTTTAACACTCACTAAAGAATGAAGGGTAAATAGAAAGATTGCTTTGAGTGAGTGTTTCTTTATTAACTGAATAAAACAGCATGTGTGCTTTAGGCATTCCTTAGTCCAGAGAATCCTGAAGAACCTTACTTGGAAGGCATTATCTATAACTGTGTAGCTCCGGGAAAACGATTTATGCCAATGGACAACCTGTCAGGAGGTGAAAAATCTGTAGCAGCTTTGGCTCTTCTGTTTGCAGTGCACAGGTAATACAGCAGTGCATATATTATTTTGCTAATGGTGTCCTCAGTTACTTTTGAAAATGTAGTGCAGTTATATGGGATTTACATTCTTTCCTAATGTTGCTATTGTTTTCTCTTCTCTTACACCATACCTGCACATATAAAGTACACCCTCAGCATTCTGCGAAGTACAAATTAGCACATGCTGGTAACTGGCTGCATTCATGCAGGGCCAAAACAGACAGGATGGAGATAAATCAAAGCTGGACTCTTTGCACTGTTCTTAGCATTATTTAGAGAGAAAAAGATTTGTCTTTTAAAACTTTTTTTTTCATTTAAAAGATTAACAAAAGAGAGCTAGCAAAACGAAGCAGGGTTAAATGCATTCTTCCTTTTCTGTGCAGCCCTGGAGCTCAGCCCATTTCCACACTGTTGGAAATCCATGGCCTCTATCACATCTGTTTGGGCCCACAGATAAGTATTTCTACAGGAACCAGTCATTAAAGTAAGGTTCTTTCACATTTCAAGAATAGGAATATATGATGTGCCCCCCATTCCTCCCCCTTCTGACCAAGAGGCTAGAGTTTTGTGAAGTTATGTGAAAGATGCTTCTCAACCCTTCCTGGTTGTGCTACTTAGTGCCTACTCATATCCTGTAGTTCAGTGGTGGGGGACCCTCCACTTGGTTGTGCAGTTCCACTTGCTGAGTCCTGAACCTTTTTGCTGCTTTTTGGAACATGTGGTTCTAGTGCGGATGCAGAGGTAGCAAGAGTGCCAAGCCTCCACAGAGTGGAACAGCAAGATGGTAAGTAACGTTCAGTCATCAGTGGGCAGGATTCCTTTTGTGTACAGGCAGGTTCATAGAACTACCCGATACATAAACTGCCCCTTGCCTTGTCTTTGTACCCAGCAACCAGCCTAGCCCCACCTCTTGCCTCTTCCATGTTCTGCATAGATGTGGGTGGCACAGTGCCCTTTCCCCATGCCAGATACTGGGATTGTGGCACACCTTTGTTAAAATATCTTTTTTATATAATATTTTTATTGTTTTTACAAGTATAAACAAACATATATATTTCATATTTCCATATGATTCGAGTCTATCATTTTTATTTTTATTTCATCAAAATATACACCCTCGACCATCTCTTCTGATGGATTTCATCATCTTTGCCTTGCATTAATACATTTACTTTATCCAGTTCTGCTAAGTCTAACAGCCTATTAGTCAATTCTTCCTCAATCGGAATTTGCTAAAAGATCTTCACTGGCTGCCTATCTGTTTCAGGCACAATTTGAAATGCTAGTTTTTAATGACCTAAATGACTTGGGGTCAAGATGCTTGAAGGACCACCTCCCCCTATATTGTGCAGCCTGTTCTCTCTGCCCTACCTGCAGAGGTGAAGTGGGTCCTTTTCAGTGGTGGCATCTCACCTTTGAAATGCAGTTAAGGTCCGCTTGACACCTACTTTGTTGTCCTTTAGACATCAAGCCTTTGCTGGTTTTATGGTCTAGTTCTAATTTGAGGACTGCTTTATTAATGTAATTTTAGGCTGCTTAATGTTGCTTTACGCATTTTTAATGCCGCAGATTGTATTGTTGCTTTTTTATTATTGATAATTATCATGTTTTTACAGTTTTATGCTATTGTTTTTACTTAGATGCATTATTCCGTCTGCATGGTTCCATCAGGCACTAATCTCATCTGCCCGCCCTCTCTCAGATTAGTTACACACATAGGGAGCCCTGGAGTAGATGTATTATTAGCACCACTGATAGCGGATTATCAGTCATGTAAATTGTGATATTGATTTTAAATTGTATTATGCTTATGTTGTGCTCATGCTGTTGTAACCTGCCTTGAGCCTGCTTGTGGGGGAGGGCGGGCAAAAAGCCTAATAAATAAAATAAATTTTGTGGGCCACCTCCAGGTCTTTGGAGAGGCAGACCCAGAAGATCAGGGGTTCTTGGCAAACTGGCATAAGAGTTGTCTATCTCCCCGTCCCAGTAAATCATGCATATAGGCACAGCAGTAGACACCATAAACACAAGAATCTTTATCCCTCTGAAAAGCAGAGCTAGGATGCAAGGTATCACCGGGTACTCAGGGGTGTCTATGCATCACACTGATGTGATCTCAAGACTGTGCAGAGTATGGTTTGGAACATCCAGGAACTAGGGGGAAAGCTTTCCACACTGGCTCCATCCACTCTGGAGTTGGTGATGCCTTGTTCTTGCCATTGGTCCTCATAGGGAAGGTGCTAAGATTAAATGAAAACCAGACCAAAAGAAAATGTGTAGAAAAGCAGCAGTAATTCACTTTGCTAGTTCCATTTTAGCACCTAGTGAAGCAGCAGTCTTCAAAGACATACTATTTTTTTAAAGTTTACTTATAAAGGAGCAACTTACTTTAATAAACAATTTACTTGTTTCTGTAGCTTTAGACCTGCCCCCTTTTTCGTTTTGGATGAAGTGGATGCAGCTCTAGATAACACAAACATTAGCAAGGTAAGCTCTCCTCGCTCTTTTTTTGCCTAAAGAGGAATGAACGGTATTCCAATGTCAAAATTTGGATTTTGTTTTTGCATATGAAAGTAATATTTTAAAGATAAGGAGAAGGCATGGTTCTCACACAGAAGATCATGGTTTGCTGTTAGGGAAACCAACTAGAGCACCATGGCGCCTGCCAACAGCTTCCCTGGTGCTGCTCACCGAGTGTTTTTGGAAACTTACATTGGATTCTCTTATGTTCTTAATAGGTCCGTGTGTGTGTGTAACATTCTCCCATATGCACTTTTTTTACTGTCAAAGAGAAAACCATCCTCCCTTCTGAGCTGGGTACCAGGAGCCTCCTCTTTGTTGTTGTTCAGTCGCACAGTCGAGTCCCAACTCTTCGCGACCCCATGGACCAGATCACGCCAGGCCTTCCTGTCTTCTGCCGTCCTCTGAAGTTGGCTTAATTTCATGTTCGTTGCATCTATGACACTGTCTAACCATCTCATCCTTTGCCATCCCCGTCTTCTTTGACCTTCAATCTTTCCCAGCATCAGGGTCTTCTCCAGTGAGTGCTCCCTTCTCATTTGGTGGCCAAAGTATTTGAGCTTCAGTTTCATTATCTGACCTTCCAGGGAACAGTCAGGGTTGATTTCTTTTAGGATTGACTGAGTTGATCTTCTTGCAGTCCAAGGGACTCTCAAGAGTCTTCTCCAGCACCCTAGTTCAAAAGAATCTATTCTTCGGCGCTCGGCCTTCCTTATAGTCCAACTCTCGCAGCCATACATGACTACTGGGAATACCATTGCTTTGATCATGCAGACTTTTGTTGGCAGAGTGAGGTCTCTACTTTTTATCATGCTGTTTAGGTTCGCCATCGCTTTCCTCCCAAGGAGCAGGCGTCTTTTAATTTCATGGCTGCTGTCACAGTCTGCGGTGATCTGGAATCCCAGGAACGTGAAGTCTGTCACTACTTCCACGACTTCTTCTATTTGCCAAGGAGTGATGGAGCTGGATGCCATGATCTTAGTTTTTTTGATGTTGAGCTTCAAGCCCACTTTTGTGCTCTCCTCTTTTACCCTGAGCAAGAGGTTCTTAAGGTCCTCTTCACTTTCTGCCATTAAGAGTGGTATCGTCTGCATATCTGAGGTTGTTGATCTTTTCCCCAGCAATCTTAGTTCCCGCTTGTGATTTATCCAGGCCAGCATTTCACATAATGCTTTACAGCCTTTTAAAGGCCCTCACCAGGTCTGGGGCATACTCAGTTGCTTCCCTCTACCCAGAACTCTGTGAGGGTGTGTCCAAGCATGTGAGAGAATAATAGTGCCTTCTGAGCAACTTTTCCTCTCCTGCTGCCTTTCCCATCCCAAGGGTGGCGCTTTCAGACGGCTGATTGTCAGATGGCTGGCTGTCAAAGGGCCACCTGCTACTGGCTGCCTGGCTCTTAAAGGTACAGCTGCTCTTGATCCACTCATCAGTGTGTGGATGTTTACAAGGTGTCTTCATGGCCCCATTGGGCCTGGTGGATGCTGGGCTTGACAATGTGTGGGTGCCAAGATGGGGAGGGGTGTTGTCCCCACCACCCCTCCCAACACTCAGGTGATTTTATATCATATCATAAAAATTCTCTAAATTTGTGAATATAATTTCCTACCTTGTTTATGGGTATATGTTCTTATCTATTGTTCAGTAGCTCTCCAATCCATGTGTTCTTGTTTATGTCTGACAAGCCCACTTCGAATTGCTTTCCCTGTTTCTAGGTATCGAGTTACATCAAGCAACAGTCCCACGAAAAGTTTCAGATCGTAGTGATTTCTCTAAAGGAAGAATTTTATTCTAAAGCAGATGCTTTAATTGGAGTTTGTCCTCAGGTATGTATTACCCATCCTGACCTGGATGGCCCAGGCTAGATTGGTCGTCAGATCTCGGAAGCTAAGCAGGGTTGGCCCTGACTAGTATGTGGATGGGAGACCTCTGAGGAATACCCGGGTCATGATGTAGAAGCAGGCAAGGACAAACCGCCTCTGAACGTCTCTTGCCTTGAAAACCCCACCAGGGGCCACCATAAGTCAGCTGTGACTTAATGGCAAACAGATATCTCTCCCTCCACTCCATTTCCCCCCGAAAGAAAATAGAAATAGGTTGTAGAATAGGAACTGGGTTGTTTGAAATGCATACTTAATTTAAAAAGCATACTTAATTTAAAATGTATAAATACACATATTTAACTATATCATTAAAATATTTGGTTGTCCTTTCATTTTAATTGTAGGGCTGTAGTTAAAAGTATTTGGTTGCACTTTTGTCGTGTCATTATGGCAAGCTGTTCTGTACTCACTCTGACCATTTCCCTTCTCAGGAAGATGGTTTTATGTTCAGTCAAGTACTAACCTTGGACCTTACTCTGTATCTTGACTCAAATGAAAATGAAGGACAACTGAAACGCAAAAAGAGCTCCGTGTTAAAATAGAAGATGAAGCAAATTGGTGGCTGTTCAGATATTGTTGCTTAACCATTGTTGTTAAATTTAAATGTTACTTATGAATATAACTGAAACTTTGGAGTTAAAATTCTGAGCAGTGATTGTTTGGCTTTACTATAAATATGTTTGTTCTGTCAAATGAACCCTCTGGAAGTTAACTGCTAAAACCTGTAGTATCTAATGGCCAAACTGCTCTGGAAATTTGTTTATGTATCGCATGGAGGGAGGTGTACAATTTCATTTTGAGTGAGCCTTTCTGAATACCATCAGCTATGTCTTTCCAAATGGCCTCCATCGTTAACTCCAGGTTTAGCCCATGCATAATCACCTTGTGAACAACTGAAGCCATATGGGTTTGACTGGGCCTGATTTTTGTATTACAGAGGTTACAGGCTGCATCCAGTTTTCCCTTGTGTGTGTTAGGGACCAATATGAGGACTTTGTATCACACGTGTGATGGGAGTTTTGTGCCTCCCAGGTGCCCGCCAGCTCCTTTCTGTTTGTGACCACTGCATATTACCCCCCCTTCAGTTTTCACATCGGCAACACACCCCATGGAGCCACTATTGGCCCCACTGTAAAAATTGAGTTATTTATATGGCTATGCCTAAGTGTAACAATGGAGGCATTAGTAGCTTCATAAGGCAATTTGGGGATGCAATAACATTGGGGGAGGGGAAGCTATAGCTGCTGTGTGGTGTGGCCACAAACAAAAGGGCCAGTGTGCATGTGGAGGTCATAAAACTCCCAACACATGATACAAAGTCCTTGTGTTATTCCCCAGCAAACTCAAGGACTTTGTAACATGTAGATAGAGCCTCTGAACTGCGGGTCCTCCTCAGTTCCTGTGTGCACAGTGACCAGTTTGGATTGCAGCTGTGACTTACTTGGAGCGAAAGCTTTTAAGCAGCTCCACACCCACCCATGCTGTTTTCCTAATGAGCAGTGGTCCTGGGGGTGCATGCTGTCCCCTCCCATAGACCCTTTCATGTCAGGGAAATGGTGTAGGGGGGGGGGGGGAGCCCGTTCTTCACACATGCCAGAATTACAGTCTGAATTGGGCACTGTGTGCAGGGGAATGGCGTTCCTGCATCTCCTGTGTGTCTGTTACATAGGGTCCTGGACCCAGCCTACATTCTCCGTAATGTGTGAATTGGCATAATGCTTCCCCCCCCCCCATGGGGTTTTGGAGACCACTGGGGCTGAAGCTGCTTAAAGGCAATTTGCAGTGGGAAAATAGGCACAGAAAAGGTTAAGCACTCTTCCCCATCCTGGTCACCCTCCCAGAAGTAGCTTTTCTTGTTTAAAAACAGGACATGCATCTGCATGCAACATTTCATTTGGCCTTGAACTACTATAACCAGTCAGTAGTGCCTTTCAAAGAATCAGGTGAGCACTGGAGGAATGCCATTTGATAGAAACTTAACCCAGGTGACTGGCAAACCTGACTCCCTAGAAGTCAGCAGGATGCTTTTGTGGCCAAGTGAAGTCATTTACATTGGACAGTTGTCAAATTTGGATGTTTATTTCATGCTAGTTTCTGGTTAAGTTGGCTAGTCATGCCTGGACCTTACCCTGCAATCTGCCATGAGAAGCATTAGTCTCACTCCTTCTAAACAGTTGAGAGACCTCTCTAGAATATAGATTATACATGCTGAGCCTTGTTCATACAATTGGCAGCTGACAGGGTAAAACCCATCTTGTGCTGTGCCTCTTAAGGGTTCTCCTCAGCATAGAAGACTAATGCTGGGGAAAGGCTGGTCAAGAAACCTGGATTCTGTCACAGGAACCGTGATGTGATCTCTTCCGTCTGCAATGACACATTCCAGGAAAACTCTTATTAGCTCCTTTGTGGGCAACAGCAAGGACTGAGACAGGCACTTTCATAATTTCCTTTTTTTAATAAACTGATGTAACATTCTTCAAAGCTAATAAACACACTGAGGAAAAGATAGATATTTACTCTTATTTTTTATTAAAATGAATGCACAAAACTGAGCCCTTAATGATCCCTATTTCATTCAGGCAGAAAATAGTCGCACTTGCTTATATTCTGATTAGAAAATTATAAAATGTACAAAAGTAAGTTTAAATTGCTATGTTGAATGCGATTAGTCAGGTTCAAAACAGATTAAAGCAAAATGCTCTTGTCCAGATTAGAATGCCCTATGCACATGTAGTGTGTGAAATACATCCCTGAGGTAGTTACAGATCAGGCTTGGTTAAAGAAAACCCATGAAATGTACGTATCCTGGCAGAAGTGTGTGACGAAGGATCCCTTCCTAAGCAGTTCTTAAGGGATCTTAACCTTCATCTATTTTCAATTCATATGAATTTAAACAATTCTTCTCAACACTGCTTTGATTATTGTGATATAAATAGATGGCACAATTATAGTAGATAGCCGCTTTTCATGGAAGGATACCATCTTCTACAGTACCTGTTTAAAAAAATTAATTCTGTTTAGAAATGGATAAAACAGAGGGTTTTTTCGGGTGAGGGATAGTAAAACTGTGGTGGTGGCAAATAGACAATGTCAAGAAATTCCACATGATTGTAAAGGGGCCTTGCACAACGAGTTCCCACTACAATTTGAAGAGAATTTGAATCTTTTGGTTTTTTTAAAAATAAAGAGCCCAGTATGTTACATCTGAGCGCACTGCCTCCTGTTTTATTTTCATACCAAAGTAAAACATACGAGTTGCCCCAAGTCACTTGCCTTTTCGGTGTCAGTGGCCTTGGTGAAGACACAGCATTTATCTAGGAAGCACCAGTGTAATTTCTGCACATTACAGAATGTGATTTGATGGTCAAAACATGCCATTAACAATAAAAAATATTTTAGCTATGGAAGCAATCCTAAGCGATAATGAATAAAACTCATTTTACTTTCAGTAGTGGAAATTTAAACTAATGTAAGTGTAAACTTTTCTTACATTTTAACAGCAAAGAACAAGAAAGTTTTAAAGTAAAAAAATAAATAAACGTCCTTGGATGATATCTGCAATTGCTTAAGGGGTCATGTCCTCTGTCGTTTGGTTACTATTTCTTCTTCACAAAAGTAATAAAAAAGCAATAACACTGTTTATATACTGATTTTAACATTTTTAGATACCTATTTATTTGCTACAGTGGTAATTTCTCTTGAGAAACTCTGCTTTATTTTGGCTTTACAATCCCATCAGTCTGCATACCTGCAAGACATTCAGGAAAACATAATGAAAGTGATTGCGCGACCTGCTTTGAAGATCAGGACATGTACTTCCTTTATAATAATACTTGCAGTTCTGCTTTGTTAAGTGCCCTGCTTTATTTAACACAATACTTACATGCCCCATGAAATAAAAATAACTCAGAATTACCATTATCCGGCAGCCTTGCTCTCTTAGGATGATCTTTGCCACTGTCCCCTAACCTTCGTTTTGCACAGTCTACACATGAAGTTCCTGCAAGAATAAGCAATGTTAAAAATTTGACACACAATAAACTTACAGGCTATAAAAATGCCAGCCAGCCATCATAAAAACAGAATTTGGTCTAACTAGCCTCTTGGCATATACAGAGTCACACCAGAAACCTCCAGTGACTCTGGTGAATCTACTACAAAATTACACCAGTGAGGCTTTTTCCTCCTGGACTTGGATGTACTCAGACAACATGCAAGTCTGATCCAGACAGAGGCCACAGCTTGTAGCAGAGTCTGTGACCCATTAAGAGCCAGTTGTATCTTTCTTGTGGTACAGGGACTACAGCTGCATATTTCACCCATTTTGGAAGAACAGCTCCATCATGAAAAACGAGGAAAATACAGTATCAAAAGAAATGGCTTGGATCCTTAGCAAGTCTCCACTAAACTGCACCTTGCCACCTCAGAACAAATATATGTCTCAGCCTTAAGTAATGTTCATATGAGGTTCTCATGAAAGCTGTAGCATTTCCAGTGCACCTTCAGCATTAAAATGTAGACAAGAATAATGAGAAACTCCTGTGCATGTAACACCTGAATCTTGCTACACAAAAATCTGATTTACTAATACTCAGTATTGCTAATAATCAGTTGGTGATTTCAGATCTGAAGGGCATATATTATTACACATATTTATCTATATCTATCTATATATCTATATATATCCTTATATTATAAAGCCGATTTGGGGTGGCTTCTGTCCTATGGGGTGGCGAGATTCCATTCATGCCAAAATCAGTTGGCCGCCTCAACTGTCGCTCACAGATGAGTCCCGGCCCACTGGCTAGCCTGCGTTGCTCCGTTGGCTCAGTCCCACCCACAGAGCCGTAGCCCAGCCTCTCACACAGCCTTTCGCCCGGAGACCTGTCCATCACACTGTCTCGCCATCCATTGGTGGCTGTGTTGCCAAGGTCTGACCATCCATTGGTGCCTGCGTTGCCATGTGTGGTCGAAGTCCCAGAAAATCAGTCCCGCCCACAGAAGCCCCCACCAGAGTCTTGCCCTCACTCTATGAGGAGACGCTGGACTGGATGGACCGGCGGCCACTAGCGGCCACATGTGCACGTCTCAGGAGGCGGCGGCACGGGCCTGCCTGGCCTCGCCGCAGCCTCCCTCCGGTGACGGGCCACAACGGCCTGGCCTGTGGCTCCGCTGCCTTCCTCACCACACTCTGCCCGCACCCTCCTCACCCCTACCTCCCACACCTGCCCGCTTGTGTGAGGACACTGACAGGAGTGGAGAGAGGGACCTCGGCAGCTAGCTCTGCCGCCACGGCCCCAGAGGCGACAGAGCATGGCTGTCGTGGATGCCAACGAGGGCGCCAGCCCAGCTGGACAGCCACAGAGAGGCTGCGGAGCCACCACTCCGGCCGCTCTGGGGCTGACTGTGGTGCCCATGCCCTGCAGGCCACCGGCGAACACTCGCCCCTCGACACCACCACCTTGGTAGCGGGGGGAGGGCCAACGTGCCGCTCCTCTGTGTCTGGCCCGTCCCCTCAACACCCCACGTCTGGTGTCTGAGGAGCACCTAAAAAACGGGGAGCCTGGGGGGAGCTGCGAGGTGGGCCCCCTTTCTAGTGTTCGTTGCATACTTGCTGCAATGGGCCTTGCTCCTAGTATATATATAAAATCATGATGTCCAGTTGCTCACTCTTACGGCTACACCCAAGTTCAATATTAAAGTATCCATGGAAATAAAAAATATACTTGACCAAGAAGTGTTGTGCTGTCCACTTGTTCAGCATCTGCAGAAAGAATGTAAATGCAGATATGAACCCAGGCTGGATATGGTTTCATTTAAATTTACCAAGTCATGCAATGCACTTTCTGAAGTCAGCTGTATAAAGGATTTTGGAAGTGTATGTTTTATGGAGATAACTACATGTGCTCTCCTATTGCTCTGGGATAATTATTTTTCCTTCTTATTGTAAG